TAAGACATAGTCAGATAGCAGTAGCAGATACGGATACACAGTCTTTCTTATCCGTATCGGTACCTCCCTATCTGCACAAATATATATGATAATATAATTGTACTCATAGATGTCACATTAATGTCACATTAATGTTTGTTTAGCCCTGATAATGATTCCGAAAAATAATAGGAAGAATCTCGTAGTTTTGGCATTCGAAAAACCTTCTTCTTTATCCAATGGAATATCCTGAAGTCAATAATATTACGGAGGAACACATAACACCCAGAATTATTTTATTCCAAAACTGTTGCAGAAATATTCGGATGGCAGTTTTTGTCGAAAAAATATTCATTAACCAACCAGTCCATTACAGTTTAATCTTTTGGGATGCAAGACAATTGACAGTGGAAATGTACACGATCAGTAAAGATAGCTATTTGCCTGAAGAGTTAAACCAAATTGTTATTCAGAAACAAGTGTAGGGGATGAAAATAGCAGGATCAAAAAGGTTCAAACACCATATGACGGAGACTTTGGCAAATGGAATTCGTAGCGAACTGAAGTGAACCACCTATCGTCATGTTAGATTTAGGGGGTAGGTGTGCCTCTAACTATGCGGCCAACCAGGTGACAACTTCGGCAGTAAGCACACACGATAACAACGTTCCAGTGATACGCTACGCAGAGCTACCGCAGATGGTTTGTCGTGGGGCGCATACCCATACCATGCGAAATACGAAGGTTGAGACCTGACTCATCACTTTTTTGTCCGGCTACTGCCATTTCCATGCTGATCACAGTAAACTTTTTCAAAACCCCATCCTGATCTTGCAGACACAGAAAACTACCGTCGATTGGGCAATACGGTCTGTGATCGGCAACGGGTCTGACGCAGTTAGTTGCTGTCTCTAACTTATCCCGCATACCGGTCGCTACGTATTCATCCAAATGCTCATGCCAAAGGGTATTAAACATGAGCAAGAGAACCGAGCTCAGTGTCCACGCTGTGGACCTGAATGAGTAATTGTGGACTAAGTTTAGGACGTCAAATAACATAGTGGTTATAAAAGGGTTGGTCTTCTATCCGACTTGAACTGAGCTTTTTAGGGAAGGCCATCGTCGTCGGCCCTTGTTGAACATTTATCTTTGAAGGTTTGCCTAACTGTTGAAGCTTCCCAGTTCCTTTGTGCCCTACATCAAGTGCTCCACTCAAAGGCTTCATCACGTTTCGGACCTCTACCCCTCTAGTCGGTAAGGATGACTTGCAAGCGACGACAAACAGCGTTCACTGGAGAGCTTTTGTATTTATCGTTACTCTAGTTGTAGGCTTCCGAACATACTTGTTCCATATGCATATATCATATCACGAGAGCACTTTTTGTTTAAGATGCTTACCGAAACGATGCCTTTTGCTCTATTTAGTTCTGATCAGTTCATAGAATGATGCCGAAAAATGTCATACACAATTGTGTGACGACACCGATGGCAGAGGTCGTTTCAAACAAATTGATCATCAACACTAGAACAGTTCTTTATCCCGGAAACGAAGAACTCTAGGACCGAACGAAGTTCAGTTCTCCAAAATGGAGTCACAGAAACACAATCTAATCGCTATGATTCAAAGGGCATGCACAGTGGAAGTGACGATCTCGTTGCATGCATTTGGGCTACAGCTGACATATTTTTCGATTACATTTCTGCTTTAACAGCCATCTAGGCAGGTGCTCTATAGGTCTGGCTGCCAATTGCCGGTGCGTTTGCCCCATGTACTTGCATTTGCAAGTGCACGTAAATTCATAGACACAGTTTGAAGGTAGATTATACTTCCCACAACCATCTACGCATGGTCCAGTGGAAGGAGTATCCAGATACATTTCCCTGCATTAACTGATGAAGGAAAAGAATTCTAAGGTTGCCATCCATCACTATCAAGAGTAGTAATTTTAACTCACTCTCTTGGGCCTCTTGAGTTTCCGGTACATCAAGTAGATTAGCAATGCCGAATCGGGGTCGTTTTCTAGCAGAAGGTCCGTTTTCAGCCCTTACATACTCCGCCTTTTTCGTTAATGAGATTCCGTAGGGTTCCCCGACCTCCTGTTCCTTTGCCACCTTCTTTTCCACTAAACTGCTCTGCAGTGAGAGTGTAGGTGGTGCGTCATACGTAGGCAGCTTGGGGTTTCCCAGGTGGGCGGGTGGAGCAACCGCTTCCCCATTTTGGGCTCCTGTGGGGGGCTGCTCCAACGGACTGAGATTGTTCAGTACGGGTGAAGTGATAGAACCTAGTTTGAGGTCGTTGTCAGTGCTGTTGAGACTGCTGACGGAGGGAGGAAGGGCATTCAGGAGGTAGGGCATATAACTTCGCAAGAATAGGAAGGCATTTTCCCAGTAAGCCAAACTGTCTGTTTCGATGGAGGACGCTCGAGGAGGCGAAACTGGGGCCAGGTTGGGCAGAGCTGCAGACCTCTGCTGAAGGCTGACCGTGGGATGCAGGAGGCCGGCTGGGGAGACGCTGCAACTCGGAAATCCAGTATGCGGAGAGGGGATGTGTCGAAACCAGTCGTAGAATTCTTCGCCCATCATGCGTGGATGAGTGAGTCCGTTGTCAATGCCACCGTGGCATGGAGGAGAGAGATAGGTACCGGTACCGAGAAATGAACGCCCGGTGGAAGGCGAAGTGAAGGGGGAGGGGAG